ACCCAACACTTTTCAATCCATAAAATTACACCATACTTCCTCTCCACATGCTTTTCTTAAAAAAAAGTTTATACATTTTATATATATATATATATATATATATATATTATTGTTTTAATATTTCTATTATTGACCCAAATATTCTTGGAAGACAACTGAGGAATAGAGCGCAAAATGGAAGAAAAGAGTAGAGAGAGAGAGCATGGTATTGAACAATAAAGTCGCATAACCTTTATTCATGAAATGAGCCTCTATTTATAGAAAAAAGAACCGTAAGATTATATCTAAACCGCTAGTAAAATAGGTACGGTAGGGAATATTTTAGGTGTTACATAATTATAGGGCTGAGAGCTTGAAAAGACGCTTGGTCGGTTTGTAATCTAGGTGGTCATGATCGAAGGGTTGACTTGAAGGTGCATATCATCCATCTAAGATTCAGGCGACTTCTATCGCCTGCATGGCCTGGATTAGGGATCCTGTCAGCTTGTCCCTGTGAGATCCATCGGGTTACCTTTTGTGAGGGTTGTTGACTTTCTTCCTACATGGGGTCAGATTTCTCCCCACTAGTAAGTGTCGGGCGGATAAATATAGACTCTCGAACTGACTCTCGTGGGTCTCAACTCGCAATGTCATCTCTTCTGCGACTGTTGATTTTTTTTGAAATTCGTGCCGACACTTTTTTTATGTACAATTAAGTATATGTTTCTTTGTTAAATTTAATTTATTTTATCATCTTCATTAGAATTTTATTAATGCAGCTTGTAAAACTTTTATAATAATTTATGAATTTTTATTTATTTTAATAATTTATTTATTTTGATAATTTATTATTATTTACATGTAATCAAGAAACATTCAATTTATGAGGACATCTAATGGACAGGGGAGAAGAGTATGCCAAAGGAGGGCCCACTGATAGAAGAACCTCACACTTATTTGATCGAGTGTAGCCGCTCAAGCCAAAGAAAGTAAGGCCAAAACCGACCAATCCACGAAAGCTAACTGAATAATCCGAGTCAAAACCGTCCTGTCAGAAGCGTGACAAAGGAATATCTGAGCCAATCATCACGAAGAAGCCAACCCAAGAGAAGCCCCAATTCCTCAACATCTCCAACCATATTGAGGACGTTTAGAAGTCTCCCTGCATATTATCAAGGATTGACAGTTAAACTGGATAAACCGACCGAAAATAAATGACTAATGGACTCTAAGTGGCTATTGGGAATGTGGAATAACGTGAAAGAGAGTGGAAAGCGGTTGTGCGAAGGGGCGCGGAGGGGGGTCTTTTCTGATCAATTTCGGCTCTAAATAGAGCCTAATGTCAGTTTTCCAATAGACACATCATAAAACTCTTCAAAATTCATCAAAATTCGTTGAATCTTCTAGAAATAGGGTATGCACCAACATTGGCGCCGTCGGCACCCATTTTGGAGTCGTCGGCGCTAGTGTCCCGTAATTAATCGACGTTGAGTAAAAATCTTTAGCGTTAAATTGTTCTGCGCCGTCGACGATGACCTCGGCGCTGCCGGCGCTGAGCATTTCTTTAAAAACTCAATTTTGACTCTAAATTTCATCATTTTTGCTTCAAGTCATAAAAATCAACAACCTGCAATAAAACATGAAAAATATCTTCTTTTAAAGCGCAATATCACAAAAAATGAGTATAACATATAGGTCAAACTATGCATGTATTTTTAGTGTATCAGTTATTGATCGATCTACTAACTACAAATTTACAGTAGTAGGGGTTATTTCTTTTAATCCCAATCTTTTAAATATTGATAATGGCATAAGGTTCATACTTGCTCCTAAATCACATAAAGTTTTTCCATAAAATTCGTCTCCTATTACACATATCATAAGGTTCATGCTTGCTCATAAATCACATTAATCTTTTTAGAAAGTTTTTTTTCTGAATTATAGCACTGCACACCTCACTAAATGCAACTGTTTCATTATCTTTAAACTTCCTTCTCCTGTTAAGAATATCCTCCATAAACTTCACATAGCTTGGCATTTGTTCTAGAGCTTTAGCAAATCGAATATTAATTATAAGTTTCTTAAAATTTTCAATAAATTTTGAAAATTGCTTATCCAACCTTTTTTGTCGAAGCCTTTGAGAAAATGGAGGTGGCGGTTTTTCCAAATCAACTCTAAGTGGAGAAATAGGTCTCTCTAAACCTTTCAGAGCGATCTCTTTTGGTTCTTCAATTTTTTCTCTCTCTACTTCAGTCTCTTTTTGAACTCTACCTTCTCATTCTCTTCCACTTCTGAGTTGAACGACCTTTACTTGCTTTTTATTCTGGTCTTTTGGATTTATTTCTGTATTACTAGAAAGTATTCCTTGGGATCTATTAATTAATGAATTAGTTATTTTTCCCAATAGATTCTCAATACTTCTAATTGTAGCTCCTTGACTTTATAACTGATTTCCCATTTATAACACCACTTTAACACCACTTCTTCTACTTCTTCTATATACAACTTATTCTCCTTAAATTGTGGATTACTGTTAAAACCTGAAGGATAAGTAGGTCTGTAATTACTATTGCCTTGATTGTTCCAGTTTCCAAATGGGTTTACATAATTGTTCCCTCATTGCTGATTATTATTACCTGAAGTATTGTTCCAGTTAAAGTTGAGATAGTTCTTCCAACCTGGGTTATAATAGTTTGAATATGCGACTTATTATTTATAGCATTCAAAGTCTCTAATGATGCTTGAGAATCTACCATTTGGCCTTATGAATTCTCTTCAATCATCGGAATTGGTTGAGGAAAATTCATTCCAAATTGGTGTAACCTCCTAGAAATTGTTGCAACTTGATTTGCTAGCATGACAAAAGCATCAGTTTCGTGAATATTGGCTACTTTCTTAAGATTTACCCTTTCAGAAGGCTATTGAAAATTATTTGTAGTCATTTCTTCAATTAAAGCATAGCATCATGAAATGGTTTTGACATCAATGAACCACCAGCAATGACATCGATAATAGATCTAAGAGATCCAACTAATTCATTACAAAAAAATTAAATTATTAACCAATCTGGTATAACATAGTGTGGACACTTTCTTAAGAGTTCTTTAAATCGTTCCCAAGCTTCATAAATAGATTTCCCCTTCAAATTGACAAAAAGATGTAATATTATATCTAAGTTTCGCAGTTTTTTATGGTGAAAAAAATTTAGCAAGGAATTTCTGTTTTAAATCACTCCAAGTTCTGATAGATCTAGGTGATAACGAATGTAACCATATCTTAGTTTTATCCCTCAGTGAGAAAGAAAGTAATCTAAGTCTTATAGCATCATCTGATACACCATCATATTTAAATATACCACACAATTCTAGAAAATTGGCAAGATGTAAATTTGGATCTTCAGTTGGTGTTCCCCCAAATTGATTATTTGATATCATTTGGTTAATAGCAAGTTTAAACTCAAATGAATTAGCTAATACAACGGGGTTTTGAATATTACAATAAAGTTCATCCGCCGTAGGGTTTGCATAATCTCTGAAAGCTCTAAACTTTTCAACATTTTGATTATTTTGATTTGTCATTTCTTGAAATTTTTCAGTAATTTTTAATTTTTTAATTTTTTTAATAGTTTTTTCTAATTCAGAGTGGTAAGACA